CTTGAGGCTGGTGCTCAGCGCGGACACGAAGCCCTGATCCTGAGAGCGGTATTATGCGCCGTGAGGGAAAGATGTCCTGAGGAACACACGTCCTGGACCCCAGGGCTTTCCCCAGGACCAGCTTCTGATCCTGAACCGTTGCCACGCGAGAGCGCGATTCGTATACAAATTGTGAGGAAGTCCCGCGCGAGAGCGCGATTTGGGAATGATGCGCGAGGAAGTCTCAGGCGGGAGCCGCTGTTGTTGTGTAAACCGGGGGCCAACAACGCAGTTTGAATCCCGTGATTTTCCCTGGTAAAAAAACCGGGGGCGAACCTCGAAAAAGCATGTCACTCGAAAAACCCAATGGTCACTGGAGGGGGATCATCAATAGTTATTCTTCAGTCATGAGAGTTCAACAACAACAACAACAACAACAATCAGTTTAAAACTGTTCGCTCTTACTGTGTACCCCAACCCTCGATACCCGCCCGTTTCGTCTTCAATTGCACCCCTTTTCGGGGGAAGTATCTTCCTTGTCGACCACTGACTGAGGTGCGAAGAAATCTCGAGCGAGAATGCCATTCCTGAGCTCGCAGGCCTCTCTGGCCCGGGGCTCTCGGAATACCGATGAAAAAATATCGAGCGGGTCCACCAACTTGCCTGAATTACGAGAAAGTCTCAAGCGAGAGTGCCGTTCCTGAGTTCGGGCGCCTTCCTGGCCAGGGGTTCTCGGAGTAAACCGTGAGGAAGTATCCAGCTGGAGCCCATGACGTCGTGGCTGGGCCTCCGCCAGCTTAACTAAATTGCGAGGGAATCTCAAGCGAGAGCGCCGTTCCTGAGTTCGGGGGCCTCTCTGGCAAATTGTGAGAAGATACCGAACGGGAGCCGTTGTCGTCGTAGCTGGGCCTCCAAGGGACCATACTTAGACTCACGCCAACGCTCGCGCGGGAGCCTCGTCTTCAGAGAAAATGTAGCTGGCGTCGAGGCGAAAGCGCGCGGAACCGTTTCAGGATATCAACAACAAGTATAAGTTAAACACGAATCTTCAACAACAACAACAACAACAACAACAACAACAACAACAACAACAACAACAATAGCAACAACAGCAGCAACAACAACAACAACAGCAACAGCAACAGCAACAGCAACAGCAACAACAACAAGCACAAAAACAAAAACAAAAACAACAACAACATAAACAGCAACAACCATTAAATATTGTTCGCTATTTTCTGCTCGAGTGTCCGTTACCGAGGACTTCCCAAACCCTCGATACCCGCCCTCTTCATTTTCGATCGTCCCCTTTCGGGGGGTATACCTCTCTTCCCTGCAGGCCGGGCCCCGGCAAGCGGCGGGGCGGCCGCGGACCGTCGGCCTGGCCAGCGGCAGCGCTGATCGGCGGCAACCCGACCCCAAGAGGGACGGACAGGGGACCGACCACGACGACGACGACGACGACGACGACGACGACAACGAGCGAAAGCGAGAGCGAGAGAGAGAACGACAGCAGGGCCACGAAGGGCACGAAGTAGCCACGAAGGGCGACGGCGGGGACACGAAGGGCATGCGTATGGGGCCACGACGGGCGCGAACGAGCGTGGGCCACGAAGTGCAGATAATGCGGGGCCACAGACGGCAACGACGGGGCCACTGAGGGTAGCAACTGGGCCACGTAGGACAGCGAAGGTGCCACAAAGCGCGACAGCGGGGCCACGAAGGGCATGCGTATGGGGCCACGACGGGCGCGAACGAGCGGGGGCCACAAGAGCATACGTATATTGGGCCGCGGAGGGCAAGGACGGGGCCACTGAGGGCAGCAACAGGGCCACGAAACAAAGCGAGGGGGCCACGAAGGGCTGCAACGGGGCCATGAAGGGCATGCGTATGGGGCCACGACGGGCGCGAACGAGCAGGGGCCACGAAAAGCATAAATATGTGGGGCCACGAAGGGCAGCGAGGAGGCCACGAAGGGCTGCAACGGGGCCACGAATGGCAGCGAGATCCCGACTCCTGAACAATATGTGAGGGAGTCCTAAGCGTGAGCGCGACTACTGGGTGCCTGAGCGTCGGGAGCGCAGCGCTGGAGTAAATTGCAGAAAATGCCAACGCAAGGGCGCTACTCTTGAGTAAAATTGCGAGCAAATCTCCAACGAGAGCGCGACTCCAGAGCGCCGCGAGAACGATTCCTGAATAAATCGCACGGAAATCCCAAGCGAGAGCGCGATTCCTGAATACAGTGCGAAGAAGCCTCGGGCTGAAGCGGGGGTCCTGGCTAAATTACGAAAGCCTCTCAAGCGGGAGCCGCTGTTGTTGTAACCCAACGGCCAACAACGCAGTTTGACGAGGAAGACCTTCCCTGATAAAGGGTGCGAGCGCTGGGACGGGCACTTCACTTGAACAAATACAATATGCACAGGAGGGGGATCAACAATAGTTATTATTCAGTATTGCAGGTTCAACAACAACAACAACAACAACAACAACAACAACAACAACAGCAACAGCAACAGCAACAGCAACAACAACAACAACAACAGCGGCAGCAGCAGCAACAACAACAACAACACCAACAACAACAACAACAACAACAACAACGACAATCATTTTAAGACTGTTCGCCCTTATTTGCTCGAGTGTCGAATAACGCGAATTTCCCAAACCCTCGATACCCGCCCTCTTCGTCTTCGATCGAACCCCCTTTGGGGGGTATACCTCTCTTCCCTTCAGGCCGGGCCCCGGCAAGCGGCCAGGCGGCCGCGGACCGTCGGCCTGGCCAGCGGCAGCGCTGATCGGCGGGGCGGCCGCGGACCGTCGACCCGACCCCAAAGAGGGACGGACAGGGGACCGACCACGACGACGACGACGACGACGACGACGACGACGACAACGACGTCGACGTCGACGACGACGGCAACGACGGCGACGGCGACGACGACGACGAGCGAAAGCGAGAGCGAGAGAGAACGACAGCAGAGCCACGAAGGACACGAAGTAGGCCACGAAGGGCGACAGCGGGGACACGAAGGGAATGCGTATGGGGCCACGAAGAGCGCGAACGAGCGTGGGCCACGAAGTGCAGATAATGCGGGGCCACAGAAGGCAACGATGGGGCCACTGAGGGTAGCACCTGGGCCACGTAGGACAGCGAGGGGGCCACAAAGGCGACAGCGGGGCCACGAAGGGCATGCACATGGGGCCACAACGGGCGCGAACGAGCGGGTGGCCACGAAGGGCATACGTATGTTGGGCCGCGGAGGGTACGGACGGGGCCACTGAGGGCAGCAACGGGGACACGAAGGGCAGCGAGGGGGCCACGAAGGGCGACAGCGGGGCCACGAAGGGCATGCATATGGGGCCACCACGGGCGCGAACGAGCGGGGGCCACGAAGGGCATACATATATGGGGCCACGAAACAAAGCGAGGGGGCCACGAAGGGCTGCAACGGGGCCACGAAGGGCAGCGAGGGGGCCACGAAGGACTGCAACGGGGCCACGAAGGGCTGCAACGGGGCCACGAAGGGCAGCGAGGGGGCCACGAAGGGCTGCAACGGGGCCACGAAACACAGCGAGGGGGCCACGAAGGGCTGCAACGGGGCCACGAAGGGCAACGAGGAGGCCACGAGGGGCTGCAACGGGGCCACGAAACAAAGCGAGGGGACCACGAAGGGCTGCAACGGGGCCACGAAACAAAGCGAGGGGGCCACCAAGGGCTGCAACGGGGCCACGGAGGGCAGCGAAATCCCGATTCCTAGGTAGTCTTTGAAGGAGTCCTACGCGTGAGCGCGACTCCTGGGTGCCTGGTTGTCGGGAGCGCGGCGCTGGAGTAAATTTCAAGAAATTCCAACGCAAGGGCGCTAGTCTTCAGTAAATTGCAAGCAAGTCTCCAGCGAGAGCGCGACTCCAGAGCGCAGGAGGAGCGATTCCTAAATAAATCATAAGGAAGTCCCAAGCGAGAGCGCGATTCTTGAAGAAAATGCGAGGAGGTATCGGGCGGGAGCGGGCGTCCTGGCTAAATTGTGAGGAAGTCTCAGGCGGGAGCCGTTGTTGTTGTAACCCGGGGGCCAGGGGGCCAGTTTGAGCAGGAAGACTTTCCTTTACAAAAAACAAAGTGCGAGCCCCGGGGGGGGCACTTTAATTCGAAAAAAACAATGTGCACCGGTGAGGGGGGATCAACAATAATTATTCTTTAAGGATGAGAGTTCAACAACAACAACAACAACAACAACAGCAACAACAACAACAACAACAACAGCAACAACAACAATCATGTTAAGACTGTTCGCCCTTATCTGCTCGAGTGTCCAATAACGCGAATATCCTAAACCCTCGATATCCGCCCTCTCCGTTTTCGATCGAACCTCTTTTGGGGGGTAGACCTTTCTTCCCTGCAGGCCGGGCCCCGGCAAGCGGCCAGGCGGCCGCGGACCGTCGGCCTGGCCAGCGGCAGCGCTGATCGGCGGGGCGGCCGCGGACCGTCGACCCGACCTCCAGGAGGGACGAACAGGGGACCGACCACGACGAGGACGACGACGACGACGACGACGACGACGACGACGGCGACGACGACAACGACGACGACAACGACGACGACGACGACGACAGCGACGATGACGACGAGCGAAAGCGAGAGCGAGAGAGAACGACAGCAGGGCCACGAAGGACACGAAGTAGGCCACGAAGGGCGACAGCGGGGACACGAAGAGAATGCGTATGGGGCCACGAAGAGCGCGAACGAGCGGGGGCCACTGAAGGCAGATAATGCGGGGCCAGGCAACGATGGGGCCACTAAAGGTAGCAACTGGGCCACGTAGGACAGTGAGGGGGCCACACACGGCGACAGGCGCGAACGAGCGGGGGCCACGAAGTGCATACGTATATTGGGCCGCAGAGGGTACGGACGGGGCCACTGAGGGCAGCGACGGGGCCACGAAGGGCAGCGAGGGGGCCACGAAGGGCGACAGCGGGGCCACAAAGGGCATGCATATGGAGCAACCACGGGCGCGAACGAGCGGGGGCCACGAAGGGCATACATATTTGGGGCCACGAAGGGCAGC